GTTTAATCAGATTAATTATCCCTCAATGAAAGAATTAATTTGTAATACATCCTCTTTATTAAATTAAATTTTCAATTTATATTAAAAATTGTATTATTCAATGCTATACGATCTTCTCGTCCCTTAAATAAATTTAAGAATTTTTACTTAAAATTTAATTTCATAATCTATATTTGAAACCGTTTATATTTCATTAATTTTTTCCTCCAAGACTTTTAGGAATCTTACACCAAGATTCCTAAAAATTAACAGAACCAGTTAACTGCGTTTGACGCGTACACACGACATCTTAAAGCTTGAAATGATCTTAACAATCAATTCTTTATTTTCTCAAATACACATGTACTGCTGCTTTCGTTTAGTTTTAGTTTTTCATAACAAACCGTAGGTGCATTCGTCCTATGTGTGACGAGTACATACTTCATTTTTTCATTTTACTGCGCTCAGAACAAGAGATTTTTCAAACTAAATTCCACAGTTAAGAGGTAAATCAATTTCCTATAAATATTTAAGTTATCAAGATTCAATCGTGTCACTTTTACGATTCACATTTCCCAGATTTCCCGCCACAACACCCAATCATCTCCCATCAAGCATCCAATCCTTACTCGCAGACGTTCCCTTGAACCTACGTCGCGCGGGGAATGCAAGGGAACCAGCGCAGACGGAGTGAAGGAGGCAGGGGCAGCTAACTTCCGGAACTGATATTGAACAGCACTGATTGAAACGAACTCCAATCGGCCGAACTTTTCGCGCGCGCGATGCATAATATACACACCGCCTCCCGAGTGTTTAAATCAATTCCGAACAAATTTGCACAGCACAGGAGAGCTCGCCGGGCGACATGGCTGACATCGTGCCCGGTCGCTTTGTGAATTCTTCATGTTCTCGCAGCGGCGGCCGCCTAGGTACATGGCTGACGTCACCGAGGAATATCGGGAATTCCACTCGAGACAGCGTAAAAGGGTTTACGTCAATGGGAATTTTATCGGCGTGTCTCCTCAGTCTGGTATCGTCGTCTGGAGCGAAATCGTTGACGACCGGCATAAAATCTGTGCCAGCGATTCGCAACACGTGCGAGGATATCGTTGGCATCGTAACTACGGTCTGAAACGGTTTGCGGGGAAACGCTAGGAGGACAATGGGTAGGCGGGTACTGTCCTCCAACGACGTTTGGTAACTTGTTCCTCGGACTGAAGGGGTAAGTGCGGCAAGGAGACCGTCCACTTGCGATGAACGTTGACGCCTTAGTTTCGGTCGCCTTTGTTAATGGCTGATTCGCGTAAATGAATGAAGATCGCAAATGAAACACAATACGACAAAGTGAGATAGGAATAAGAAGTTGACGCCTATACTCATCCCCTATCCTTATATCTCACTTTGTCGTATCTGTATAATTAGCGTTCTGCGGTACTTTTGTTCGAGCAGAATTTGGTTACGTCTCACTCTGTCGCATTCGGTCTTGCTTCCATCCTTTGTTATTGCCGCGCGCCAATAATAACAATACGTCGAAAACCGAGGCGACCCGAGCATCGCGAGTGGAAGAGTCCCTTTGCTCCTGTGCACTTTTAGCTTACAGGTCGATAGAACTAAGGGAAGAAGCGTATAGATAGTACTTACAGCAGCGGCTTGGGAGGACGTTGGTCAGGAAGTCTTCGTTTCCTCCGACCGGACCAGGGCACAGGTAAAGCCTGGGGTCTCATTACTGCGGCAAAATTCTCGCATTTTCCGCTAAATGTCCGTTTCGTGTTAATGAACGACTTATCTTCATATTTGCTGTCACCACGCGCGCCGGTCGGGAGTGCTCGTTTACGGAAGTTGGCTGACCCCGCTAACTATAGCGACTCTGTGGAATTAATTGAGACCTCCCCGGTCTATCTTGTTATCCGAGTAAATTCCGGATTCGGGTAACTGCTCATCGGTGTCCGGGAACGAGCCGCAATGAGCTGGCTCATCTAATTAGGAATGATTCAAAATAGAAATAAACGAGAACGAGAGACCGGTTAGCTGGCTACCTTCGGTTCGATCGAGAAATATTTTATGCTGATCTTGGTTAGTAACCGACGAGTTAGGAGTTTTCAGCAATTTTGGTGGTTTTAATTGAGGTGGACTGTATGGTTCTTTGGGAATGGTATAACGAGGTTTATGATGTGAAGAAATTCGAGTGTTTTATTTTAGTGATATTACAGGAAATTGGTATGTTTAAAGGTAGTTTATTAGTATTGAGTTTTTCTATGAAAACGTATGTTTAGAAAGTTAATTTCCAAGTCATTCTTCATTCATTTTTTGGAAAGCATTTGATATGGTACGTCAGTCAATGGATTCGCTTAATTTGCATTTCTGTTATGTTTATGAAACTTGCAAATCACTTCGTGCTGCGTAGAAGGTACAGGAGATATATTTCGAAAAGCTTATTAAAAGTTTATTAATATTTATTGTTAATATTTATTGATAATTTTTATTCTTCATATATTTATTGTTGGTATTTATTTTTAACATATTTATTGCTAATATTTGTTCTCAATATATTTATTGTGAATGTTTGTTATGAATATTGACCACTCAAAACAAATGATTATGAATATAGTGGTACTGGAAAAAAATCGAGCATCAAATCTGAGAAAATCTAACCAATTCAATATTAAATAGTTTTATACACTATTGCATATTATTAATATTATAGAAAATATACCAAACACGACAAAATTTAGAAGTATTGCTAAATAAGTGACTCTATCATTTTGGAACATTGTTTCGATTTCTTTTTCTATTTCATAGTGGATAACGTTTTGTATTTATTTTATTCATGTAAAAATATATACAAAGTAAATGATCAAATAATAAAATATTGTATTCTTTTCCTACTAAAATTTACTAAACTCTTACGAACATTATTTTATGAAGTAACTTTATCTCCGAGTTATTAAGAAAATCTGTAAATGAATTAGTAGTGAAAAGAATTATTAAGAATTTTCTATTTATATTCAAATAGATTAGAATTCCAAGATTCTCCTAGATTTCATCTTGAATTCCACTTTAAAGTATTATGTCTGCGCATTAGAAGCTATGTTACACCTTCTGCAAGTTACGTCAAGTGTAATCATTCATAACGTACATGACGATACATGCTTATTGATCGCTCAACAATTAATCTGTTAACCGGGATATTCGAGAGATAATTACCCATACGTCGAATTTTGTATATACAGTGAACACTATTTGAACGTTACTTAAAAGTAATAAATCAAAATGCAAATGCAGTATCCGAAATAGAAATTTACCATTTATTCAAATGACTGATTAAATTTACCTTTTGCAAATCATTTAAAATATCATAGTATGTTATAAGGTAATCTTCAACTCAATATTTACATCTCTATAGTCAATGAATAATAAAATAGGACAGTAATCATTGATTGTCTGACTTTTGGAGTGGCTGCTAAATAATACACATACTAATTATGCAAATCAGTCAGACCACTGAATCTAAATTCCTCTGTGCACATTTTCAACAAATTAAGAATTCAAGTAGGAAAATACAATAATATAGATGAATAATTTTTAAATGTATTAAATATTTTAACAAATGTAATTTTATTACAATTAAGAAGAGTAATACTAAATTTATATTTTTTATGATTTTGTATAAGTGTGTATTTTGTTAGTAAATGTACTTTTTCTGAAATTTTATTTTGTACTTCTTCACTGTGCTGTTTCCACAAGTGTTATTTTTTCAACATATGTTTAAATTAAATTAATATACAATTTAATGACAAATGTAGAATATAAGTCTTCTTCGTATAATATTGATTATCCTAAAGTTGCAAACGTCGAGTAACATTGGAAATTGAAACTAATCATGCTAAAGCGGGATTTATAAATTCGATAAAATCTGGTACGGATTGAGAAGCTTCTTAAATTATTGAACTTCTTGCCAATCAGAGAGAATTAAAGATTCGTACGGACTCTCAAATGTTCGCTAAGTCTGTCAGAAGGAGAAGAAGAAACTACTAACTGTTTCACTAATAACACCAAACTTTCAAGTCTTTAGCTCTCAACATAGTTTGAAGAAATATAAATGCATCTCATAAAACTTACTTCGTAAAGCGACGTCACAAAAGTAATTTAATTCTAGCACTTTATCTCACGATGTTTAAAATTGTCGCGTTTCCCAATATTTAACATGTTCCATGAAATTATCATACTTACGTATTGAAATCGAAATGTCCACGTGCAAACCAATGCTGCAATACTATAAAAGGATCAGTAAGAAAAGCAAAATTGAAGTCGAATTTGAATACTTACATTAGAAAATTATTTATATTAAATTATTTACGTAACTGTATTTGATAAGAAGTCATTTGTAGTTAATTTATATAGAACATTAGTCATTTGTTGATTCGTAAAGCTAATAATAGAAAATAAAACAACACAACACAATAAAATGTTGAAATAAATAATTTGAAATTCAAAACAATTCATTTTCCCTACAAATTATAAGCATATTTGTAAAGTTTCTTACTTTCTACATGTTGAACGATGAATAATAAACAGCCATACATACGATAAACAAAATACATTTAATTCAAGATACTAAATAAAATTCTGGAAATTATAAAGGTTCCCCTTTACATTTTCCAATTATATTATAAAAGAAAACCATCACCAAAACAGATGACACCAAACATATTAATCCTTCTGTTAAAAATCAAAATGTCGACGTTCGTTCGAACATCGGTGATACAATATTTCGTATAAATTTTTCATTTTACAAGAGAAATCAATGTAAAAGTATTCAAAACCCGAAGATCAGCATTTTGTCAAATTTTCATTAAAAACTAACAAATTTCCCAGAAAAAAACACAAAAATACATATCCAGGTACTCTCCGTAGCTAACATAAGAATTAACCAAATAAAAGACCATCCAAACAGCAAGAAAGGAGCATCGGACACTATGACAGGTTAAAATGAACAAACACCTCATTTACAAATCCATGATTCCTTTATTAAGAAATACTGTATTGTTCCGACAATCCCAAAATGTTGGTACGAATATCATGACTCTCGAAGCTATTACGTTTCCGGCGCAGTCGTATCGGTATCAACGATGCGGATACCGAAGAACTCACGCGGAAGAGTTATGTACCGAGCGAACTGATTACCGATTTCATGTAACCGATGCCCGCGTTCATCGAACATCGCAACTTGCCACATTTGTCCACCAGGTCGCCCGTGATCCGCGACCGATCGACCTCGACACTCTAACATCCTCGCCACCTTAAAACAACGTACACCGAACGTTTAAGAGAAGTAAGTATAACATCAATGACTGACTTTATTTTTCCCGTTGAATTCGCGTCGGAGAACCCCCAGCCGCTGCCACCCCGCCCCTTTTCATCCCGGTTTCGCGGTCACGTCGGGTCATCGCACCGGCTTTCGCAGGCGGAACCCCGAAACTGCCCCCTTCCCGCTCCCATCAAACCACTCGCCACCGACCGGATGCCAATTGCGCTAGAGACCGTGAAATTTGCCGGAGCAAGTAATTAAACGATCGTTCGATCGGTCGGCCGTCGCTGAAAGCGAGCATCGCGCCGAGCGGCCAACGTTCCGGGGGGTAAACGGTCAATTCCAACTCGTAGGGTCACGCACGCGACGAATACGAGATCAGAAACTCTTTCCTTCGTCCCGCAACCGAACTGTTTCCTCTCCGCGCGGATAGAAGACGTAGACAAAAGAGACAGACACAGAGACAGACGAAATAGACCGGTTTCGTCGCGACTGCTAGCGACGCAACCCTCCGCTGATGCTAAACGTTTATGGCAAAGAACGTCCAAGACAAGCCCGGGTGTCCACCGTAGGTCAGTTACGGTGAATTCGTGAACAATTGAATTCATTGTTGGCCACACGATCGTCCGAGGATCGAGTGCTAGTAGAGAGTCGGAGGCGCCGCGCGTTGTGCTCTAGCCACTCGTGGTTCGCAGCTCTGGCGTGTTTGGGGTAGCCTACCGGTACCGGGACAGCCACGCGCAGCAGATCAGCAGGACGAGCAGGTGCAGGGTTACGTGGAGCGTCGCTGTTGGGGGTCCTCTGGATGCTAATGCGAAGGCGTTCAACGTGTAGCACTCTTTGTAGGACTCCGGGTTCATCCGTGTGACGGTGCAGTAGTGATGGAGGGCGCAGAATCCGTTCAATGGACCCCCGCAGCCCCAAACCTGCTCGACCTCGCGCGGCAGGAAGACCGTGTTCGCCGCGTAATATCTGTGGCAGGGAGCAGAAAAACGCGGTGTGTGGAATGAAAATTGGAGGGAGATTGTACAGGGTGATGCATTTAACACTAGAACTACCAGACGGGTCAAAGTGGATCGTTCCTGCGGTCTTCTTTTTGCAATTATGGAAAAGATAACAGATGTTTCTCTGAGAAGTTATTAAAGAAATTGATTTAGCATCACGCAAACTGAATTGTAAATCAAATAAAGCCTTAACAGATGCATTCTTGGAGTTGGTATAGAGAAATTTCAAAAGCTCATGCTTGGTAGTTATAGTGTTAAATGTAATCGAATAGCTTTGAAATTATTGGTGTTGTAAGAAAACCTATCGAATGTTTAGTACTTTCAAAAGGCAGCTTATCTCGTAGTAGTACTTTTTTATGTATCGACTCGCAAAAGTGAATGACATGAAGGCTAATTTCAGTAATGCTTTAATGTTACTCGATAGATTATTCTCTAGATGAAATTACTAATCAACTTATAACGAAGAATCATTGGTTTCAAGGTATCTTAATTTTAATATTAGAAAGTAGTGTACCATATCTATAGGTAACCAATATTTAAAAAGTGTAGTAAATAATATCTGTACTATTACTGAATATTAGAATTGAGATATCTTGAAAATTAATGATTTTTTTTTAATAACTTAGTAAGTACTTTTGTACAGAAAATGACGAGCTGCTTCGATAAGTATATTTAAAAACATACGATTCAATTTAACCCTTTGCCCACAGTAACGTGTAAGACTTGTGATGAAAATTTTAAATAGAATTTAACAAACGTAAATATTACTTAGTTCACGTGAATTTAATTTAAATATTATTTTTCTGTTATCAACTATTATATTTTAGAGCGAACGTGAACATAGGATATGCCTACAATTTTTCTCTTTTTTCAGTAAATTATTAATGGCAAAGTAGTCTGAAAATAAATCTGACATTGTCGTTATACAAAAAATTGTTATTTACAAAATTTTCATTAACAAACTTTATTTATAGTTGGCTGGCGAGTTAACTATGATACTCCTACAGCGATAAGAATAAAGAAAATCATCAAAATAAGCGATAGAGTAGTTAATCTAGTTAATCTAGTTAGACTACGAGTTGACTATAATCAGTCCCGGACCACCTTCGCCGGGAGTAGACCGTGAACCGTATCGGGACAGTAATTAGCATCGTAACGACGCGATTCGGTTGAAAAGGGTAGAGAGCCAGTTATCATCGTCAGCCGGCTCCAAGTTATCAGCCGGGGTAATTATTCGAGAAATATGGAAATTATTAATCCATCGTTGCCCTAACGGGTATATATGAGCTTCGCCGGTTGGCGGCGGGGGAGAGGGATGTCACACACGCAATCGCCGCATCGGATCATGTAAATGTTGCCGCACCGTGTCGGGCACTTTGCCACCCTGCACCGGGTACAGGTGCTGCGTTGCACTGTAACTTTGTCACGAGCAATTTGCGTCAGTCGTCTGTTAGCGAGCTCTGGAGGGGACGGATATTTCAAGGTTTCGCGAGGCAAGGTGTGGGTTTCACGGCTGATACGGGACGGGATGAGCTTCAACTGTTTTGGAGGATTGCACGGCGTTCGAAATGCTTGAAAGCTGCGGGAAACGCTGCTAGGCTTAATGGGCAATGATATGTTCAGAAGTCTCTGAACACTTGTGGTAATAAATGTGGAGTGATGTTTATGAAGGCGGTTTTACCAGGTGTTGAACTGATGTTTGTAGTTCTTTAACAGGTTTGTTCATTCTGTCGAAAAGGGTTTGATTCTTCTTATTGTTACTGTGGAGTTGTGTAAAACTGAAATTAGTCATTTGAATTGAGCAAAGAGACTTTGAATTTCTTATTTGATTTTTCTAATTTCCTCGTAATTAATATTTTTAATAAATCATCATTTATAGATAATGAATGTTTGACACTTTTCTGATTTAATATTAGATAAATTCTACTGAAATGTTTGTGCAATTAAGACAGCAATGTGGTAGCAATGTACGCGTAAGATTAGTTATAAGAGTAACCAATTGTAAAAATTATTGTACAATATTTAACTGTATGGAATATAATTTTTATGCAGATAATTTATTTCAAATAGTGACTGAAAGAATGCAATTTTTAAACTTAATACTAATGCAATTCGAACAAATATTTAAATTCTAGAACGATTAAAGAATCAACTTGCGTATGATATATTTTTATAATTGTTTTTTATTCGGATAAGAGCCTATATATCTATAAATTCCAATTGTTAGATATAATATTTGAAATATTTACTTGTACGTAATACCGATATCATTACATAACGTGAAGATAAAGGAGCGTTATAAATTCGCTATTGAAAATTACATGCACATTAGAATTTTATCTTCTTCATAACAATCGAGTGTCTGAAAAATTATAAATAAAATAGCTACTTACATGGTAACGAGCATCGTGTATAAGCTTCAATACAAACGTTTCTAATCAGCTATTATGTTCGAACAAAATTTAGATTTTTAAAGGAAAGAGCTACAAATAAATTTTTTAAGTTTTGTACAATATAATATTTCGAGTGAATAAATGTATCCATGGAAAATATATCCATAAACTTATAATTATTAATCTGTTGGTGGTTATTTAAACTAATCGCGTCAAACTATTTTCTGTTACTTCCATTATAATAAACTTCTTTCATCTCAGTGTAGATTTTATCATGAAAAAGTAATTGCTAAAAGGGACCACGAAGTAATGTGATCCCCAAGGAGTAATAAAATAATATTTAATGGGAAAATTCTACACAGAGTAAAAATTTTCAGGCTATATGAACAAAAACGAAAGAGAAATCACTATTATTTACAGTCCAACAAAATAATATAATGGGGAAAAATCTCTAATAATTCTATTGAATATAAAAAATAGTGAAGCAGTACTTTTTATATCAATATCTTTCACGAACTGTAAATATTAAAAATGATTTCAAACTTTTAAGCCTTACTATATATTATTTATTGCATTACCGGAATTTAAAACGAAATACGACTTATATTCTCGTATTGATAACATTCATAAAATAACTGAAATAAACGTTTAATGCAAAAATATACGACTACAGATTTTAACTAACGTGAATTGAATAGAAATTATTTTATTGAACACATTGTTAAGGAAACTCTATATGCCACTTAAATTTAATAACGATAAATTTATATGACACAATCCATACATTATTTACGGTTTATTGAAATAAATTGCGCTTAAAGTTACGATATTTGTTTCAACTTTCAATAAATTTGTTATAACAAATTCAATTTTCAACAGTTTTTATTACGATCCAGGTTCAATAATGTTACGTTCAATAAAAACCATTTTTCTAGAATTCTATTGTATTCAATAACATTACTAAACACAATCAACAGTAATGTAACTTACCACACTACATATGTACACAAATTCAAACATCAAGTTACCACACGATAACTACCAATCTCTCGTTAAACCCAAAGAAAAACAATCTCAGTCCCAAAAAGAACTTCCTAAAAGACAAAAATTCCATGTAACATATTTTCATTAGTTACCGCCAAAGAAAGTTTCCACATTCGCACTAACAAACCGCACTAAACCCGAAACCAGAGCAATACTTATCCCGCATCCACCATACTTCCCTCGTAAAACTGTTACTAAAAGAAACAACGCATTTCTTGCCGCGTAAAAGCACGCGGAACGCGAGTTTGCGCAAACATCCGCGATCCAACCGAAACTTTTATAACCGCCCTGACCCAGCATTTATGTTTCACCGGAACGAAAAGGAAAAAAAACGAAACTAGAAACGCGTTGCTAGCGAAATAGCGCAACGTGTCGGTCATGTTAAGGTGTTAAAGTGAGCAGAAGTAATATCCGATTTTCCACGGCTACTACCTTCGACTTGCAGTCGAACGCAGATGATCGATGATGCTTGTCCACGATAGGATCGCGGTCACGCTCCCTGGCGCGACCTCTTTCGCAGTGTCGATCGACAGATCGAAAAATTTGTCAGCAGTCATAATTCCTCACGTACCTGACGAAAGCGTTATCATTGGCTTGCGTGAGTCGGTCGGCCAAGTCGTGAAGACTGATCGGTGTTATTTCCTGAAGACCGTAGTGTTCGAGGAGGGAGTACCCGACCAGCCAGTTTGCCTTCCCGATTGAATTCGCTTCCGGCAGATCAAGATAGTACTGCGTATAATCCAGGACCTGAATACGACAGAACCAAGGGGGTGGATCGTATATATTCGCGGCTCTTTCAATCGAGACGTCACATAAATAGACCGCCGCGGACGGACGGAGATTATGGACGCCGTTGGACACGTTTCAACCTACCTGGCCAGTATTGGTTTCGAACTTGTACAGTCTCAAACCTGGATTGTTGGGCCCTCCGGGCGTGTTAGGCGATATACTGGGCGCCATCATTATCCAAGATACCGGCGGACCTGCCAGCACAAATACCGTTTCGAGATCAGGGACAATTCTAACGGTACCTATTGCCTGTGTTAAGCCTTTGCACTCGACAGGTTTTCATTGGGAATGTTCAGGACTCTTTTGATGAGATGTAGATGACATTTTTTGAAACTAATTAACAGTACGACTATCGTATCAGTCAGAATGACTGGTTTCGATTTGTTTGTTTTGTGATTATTGATATCTTAACACCTTGTTTTATGATTTATTTCTTAACTATGACTGATGTAACTAATTTATCGTTAATAATTTACTGTGAAAATAAACAATTTTAATGCTTATTGTATATTTATGTTTAACGAAGATATTTACAACGAAGGTAAACGATTGATAATAGATGAGTAATATTTAATTTATATACTAAAAAGATAGATAACGCTCACATTTTTCAAATTCAATTAAAAATTTTCATCACGAATAACATGCTATTATAGACCAAGAGGTTAAAAGCATTGAATATACGAAATGACCTTGAAAATAAATAGTTTCCCTTGAGTACTGTAATGAATGTCTGGAGAAACTGAGAATAATATGTTGTTACAATTTTTATAGGGATTACATATTAATTATATTAAATACTTGGTCGTTCCGGTGTTAATAAGGCAATGCACGTAAATTAACTCCTTGCCAATTGGGGTCCTTTCTTTTGAGAGTTACCTCTCGAGTGTAAAGGGTTAACACCATTTTTATCGCTCTTTCGAGTATACAGTAGAACCCTGATTTAATAAAAAATATTTTAATTATAGTTACTTGTAAATTTCGATCGTATATTTTCCGAGGTAGAATCTACAATTCGGAATTACTGCATTCTAATTTAACCAATACCCTGTGCAATCTGGATCGCAGAAAATTGCGACTCGGTTAATCCAGGTTCTGCTATATGTATTGTTACCAATATGTAATTTCTTAAAATAATTTTAACTGATTAAATGTTCCATAAAATTCATCATTACTTAAATATACATAACACGTTAAACGTAATGCTCACATTTCCAAAATACTTCTCTTTCTTCCTTAAAATTATTTCACCAATTGTTTAATTTCATTCGTGTATACTTCACGAAACAAACAGAAAAAAGGGAATTTTAAATTCAACTTATAAGAGCGAAGAATGCTTCTGCCATCAGTTTAGTGAATGTGACCATTGTCTGCTAGAGAATTGATCCATCATTGTGTCTCTCGTGAAACAAAACATACTTTTATAATTCGAAAGTTTAGCTTTTTTCATTATTATAATGCATGAAAGCGATGCTTCGACAATGTAGAGAGTTTTTGAACGCAGCATGTACGCGTTCATTTGCGTACGGACGTAAAGCGGAGCAGTTTTAAAGCGCATCAACCACGTGGCGTGACCAATAAGGGAGTCTGTGAAACGGCAGCGAAGTATTCCGTTACTAAACGCCTCGCACGGGGAATTTATTGATTATCGTTCTTGGCTCCTGGCGTTTCCGAAGGATTACTTCTATAAATGGAAGTTGATGGTATGCTGCTCGATAGACTTGTGGAATTTATGTTTCCTCGTTCAATGTCGCTTGTTCAAGTAACTAACTGCAAATCTTTCGAAAATGTTACTGACTGCGCCTGGGACATCGCAGCGATATGGGACCTACGAAGTTACTACCCAATTTTCGATTCAACTGTAATTCATGCTTTAAATAGGGCACACCCATTTTCAAATAATATAAGAATGGAGCTTCTACCCGTGAATTATATAATCGACAGTGATTTTTCATACTTTCGTTGAAGACCAACGTTTATCCAAATGATTTTTTAACTGATATGCTAATAAAAAATATATGTATGTCATAGTATAAAGATAAATATAAATCTATATCGACAGATCAACAAAAACAGTTTACTTTACAGTATAAGTTACTTCTAATATTTCCTATATACTTAAATAATTAGAAGAAATTATTTCGTTGTAAAATGTATGTAAAATTAATTTACCTTTTACGTAATATGTGTTTGTACATTTCATATAGATATTTAACTTGTATACATAAATTTTGATTCAAATATTTCAATGTTTAATAAAAAAATTTTCAATTATGTTAATGCGTAATATATTTTTGAAACGCATAATTTACAAAGAAACACGCTCACAACGTGCTATTTTTTATTTGTAATGCTAGAAAGTGTACTTTGAATTTTGTATTTGGATTTAATAGTTTCTGAAATATTTCATAAAATAAATTGTTCAACTCTTACTTTTATAGCAGCTTTTACCTTTCGTACATTAACGATTACCAATATAAAAAGAAGGCACGTATCAAATATTTTATGGAAATTCGGATCATACTAAAAACGCGTCTACATAGGAGTGTGGTAGATACGCAATGTCTTTTGACAGTAAATATAAAATGCACTGAACCGCAGTAAATGTAAAATAATGTAGAACGAAAAGACGAAAATTCTCTTTTAGAGAAAGGTCCATTTTAAAGCAGAAATAAAATTAAAAATGTAAAAGAATATTTATTTTAAATTCAATGTCACAGTTGACATTGCTTTCAACTTACTGCAGGTTTCAGTTTTAATACTAAAACTACCGAGCAATTAGAGTGACTTACTTCCAATGTTTTAGCAAAATTAGAACAATACGTTTGTTAAGATTCCGTACAAATACCCAAACTTAATTGAAAATCTTTTGAAAAAAGACCTTCCTAATTTAAATACTTGGAAAACGAGAATTCTGAACTATATCAATTTGACCCGTCCGGTAGTTTTATTGTTAATAATCTCTATCTGTTTACGTTCTCAATGGATGTTCAAAATGATCTACTTGTATCTTGAAGTATTGATTGTCTAACTTTTATCATTGATCGTCTAACTTTCTCCAAATATCTAGCTGTTGTTCGGACTTGCTAGAAACTTTGCTCAATTCTTCTACAAAGTGCTTTAACACAGTAAAAGAACATTGTATACACAATAGACTTTGGATAACTTCAGAAATAAAAACCTATAAAATATTGAGCACCATTTGAAAAACAGTTCAGTGGAGTCAGCATAAAACGGTGGAACAATTGACGTTTTATAGCCAGCAAGGTCTCTAAGGGACCCTACGTTTTTTTATTGTTATCTTAGTTCGTTTTACATTATTTTATGTCGTGTCCGTGGCTTTACTTAAGCTAACGAAATTAGGTCCAACATTTCTGACTGTAAGTTTTGTTTATTAAATATATTTGTTTATTTGTAATGTTCGTTCCAAAAAATCAGTTATAAAAATTAACAATAGAAAAGATAGCCTCAAAAGAGAACATTCTTATTTCATATGCTAAAGGTTAAACTACTTCCATCCATCAGTAATATTATTGCACGTGTTTTTAGTTTGTCTGTGTGTTCATGTGTATTGATATAAGTAAATATACTAAGAATTTAACGTAGTATTACTTTGATTATGCGTTTTTTCAAGGAAAAAGGTAAGTAAATTCACTTCTCTAATAACTCATTAATATTTCGACAATTTCAGTTGAGGGATAATTAACATCGTTTTATAAAAAATTTGGAAATAATTTTTGAGGCAAAAAATATTCGCTTTGTTGTACATATATATTCTTTACATATTGTAAAATAGTGGAAACATAAAAGAAAGCCTAATAGAAACAAATGAAACAAAGAAAATATATAAAAATTATAAGAAAAAATAGAAAAAGCAATTATTGACATATTAGAAGATGTTCTGTTTCTATACAATGTAATACATGTATTTTATACATTTCTTATAATATAATTCTATATATTTAATAAATAGAATATATACATAACAAAATATACTTTGCTTCTACATCAGTCCCACCTTACACCTCAGCCGAAATTCTTTTTCTTAAAAATTTAGCCAAAAAAAAGAATGAATAATATTCATTGGATATACAGGGTGTTACTTTTAACTTGAGCCCTTGAATTATTTTCGCAATTATTGAAGGTAAGAAAAAATGATTAAACAGAATGATCTTCACGGGATTCTTTCTATCGCCATCAGATGCACGCTTTAAAACCATGTATATCCTATTTAGTCATTTTTTCTTACTTTTAATAATAGCAGAAATAATTTAGGTGCTCGAATTAAAATTAACACCCTGTATAAGTTTCTGCTCTACGAGACAACAACTTAGTTGTTAAAATTAAAGAATCAATATATAAGAATTCTATAAACACTTTAAACCATGTCTTATTAGTATTTAATATTTTTCCTAGTTCTTATAGCTATTCCATCTAACCCCGCTTTCCCCTGCAACAAACTCCACAGCTGTCAAAGCGTTAAAAAGTATCGACGACTATATCTACCCAGAGACGTCCACATCAATGGAACAAGAAGCTAGTCGGTCGTAAACACGTTCGAAAGATTTCACCGTCGCGTCCACACGTATCCGTATAGCGACAGGATTGAATAAAAGAACAGTGGTGCGCATTTTTTCCGTACTTCCGTGTGGAAAGTGGGACACGTTTGTGCTCGGCCAATACGAGTTGTATCGCTTCGAAAAAAAAGAAATCACGGTAGAGAAAACCCGAACGAGAGAGGGAAAGAGGGAAAGAGTGAAATAACGACCAAGTTTCAATCCACCAATGACAAAGTCGCAACGGAACAAAAACCCATTCCGAGGAAGGTAGTCGCCAAGTGTATCGCGATACCCGTTAAACGTGCTATTTTCTGAATCCCTGCAATTCGGGGGTTATCAGAAACACACGAAAGGTAGCCAAGGAGACGGGACACATCGATTTCGATTTCATTCCAATGGGAAATTAAACGTCGCTCGCGAAAATTCCGTGTTATTAAGTTGAAACCGCGGGGCAGGTCGTGGGAGAGGAGCCGGGAGGCAGCGGCTATAAAGGCGCGGAAAATGTGGCGTGAAGCGAACGTAAGTTACAAGTATACGAGACACGAGGAGAGGAAGGTAGGGAGAAAAACGGAGGGAAATAGAGGGAGAGGGGAAGAGGAAGAGAGGCAAGCCGGCCGCTCGCCAGGAGAACCGCAGAATGTAAAAGGCTGAACGGTGGCGGCGCATCGATTCGACCGGTCTCTCTCTCCGGTCGATTCACCCCGTTCAACCGCCTACGAGCAAGAAAGAATAGAGACGTACCCGTGTCGCTGTAAACCACGCGGAAGGTATCGGAATGCCAGTGACCGAAGAACTGGCCGCGAATGATGTCCGAGTAGAGGCGGACCGTTTGCTGGTATTTATTGTTGTGCTGCTCGCTGTAGGCTGCCGCGCCGCTCTCGCGTTCGTCCATTCCCGGCGGCGTGTGGCCTACGATGTACACCTGTAACAATCCATAGTTTGCTGTTATTCGAAGCGGGGAAACGTTTGGACGGGGTAATTGGACGATCGAGTTTTTGTCGGGTGAATATTTTAACTCCAAACGTACTGACACTTTAACTGCCGATCATATTTTATCATAAGGTATATAGGTGATCGTTGATTTAATACGAAAACAATGCGCAAAATAATTACTGGATAATAAGAAAAAGATTATATATTTTCATTTGTTTTTACAGAGAAGGGAAAACTAGATTTTTTATTTGGAACCAAATCATTTGACCGGGCGTGGTACATTTAGTGTTAACAGTAGAACTACAAGGCGGGTCTACATGACCCATTCCCGACTTCTTCAAAGTATGAAGAAGGTAACAGATATTTCCCTGGGCAATTATTGAAGAAATTTATTTGGCAATACGCAAACTGAATTTGAAATTATTTGAAGTCTTAATAGATGTACTCTTGGAGTTTCTATAGAAGGATGAAAGTCTGAAAGTCAATTGAACTGCTCGGTAATATAGTGGTTACTATATTATAGATAGTGAAAGAGTGGATCTTGAGTAATCGAGAAATAGAAATAAATATATGTATTTAATAAAATATGGAAACAACACTTTCGCTCGACCGTTTTACAGCCTGTCCTTCGCTCACACTCATTCTTACATTCACTCTTCTTAAAAATACCTTAACCTATGCTAAAAATTCCAGATACTACAGTAGTTTTAGTGTTTAGTGGAATTTGTGTAGAAGGAGCACTTAACGGATAGGAATGTGGGTATTATCGGTTGGTTTTTATTATTATTATGATGCTGATTTGCTATTCGTCGATACGGCTACGTGGAAATAATTGATATTATAAACATAATGCATAGGGGAGAATTTCATTTGCCTCTGCTAGACATCGAGTCATCGGTCAATAGTATTAGTATGGGTCAAAATGGTCGTTTGGGTTCCTTATTTATAAACATTCAGAGAGTATGTATTTTTTCTTTGGGAAATTGTTAAATAACTTGACTTAGTAATATAGAAGCTGAATCATAAATGAAACTAGATCACTATAAATGCAATTTTTAAATTTGTAATAAAGAATACAAATTACTCGATCTGTTTGCTCGACAGTTCTAGTCCTAATTTTTTATGTTTTCGTCACGTATACTCATCATGAAAAGATTGCAATTTTTCATTCAATGGCAGAAGTCTTTATGGTAGGGAAAAAAACTTATATTCGCAATTTAAAGTAAGATTTATACAAGATGAGGGATATTTATAATTTTAATACATTTTAAAATAATAAAGAACTAAACATTAAGAAACAAACTATAATTAAAAGTCATCCTATTATTAACTCGATAAGTTATTATCGAATATACTCATGATTGCTTAACAATAATTAAGTACTTGGGTATACATTTTGAAAACTAAAAGAAACACTTAAAGGATTGAAAGGATTATAACTTCACTGTACTTATATTTTGTGTTGATAAAATCAATCGATCAAGAATATTAATCAGCCATTTATAATGCTAAACAGAGCAATTCTAATAATAAAATTAAGATTATTTTCATAATATCTACTTTATATTATATTATTTCGTAACAAGCTACGTTTATAAAATTTTGAGTATATGGCTTTAATTGTATCTTTTAAATACCATGAGAAAGAAAGCGTGTCAGGAAACTATAAACGAAAGGAAGAAAAATAGTTTCCTTAAAATTTTAAGTTGAGAAAGCTACTGTTATTTTTTTTTCTAGGGAATAGTAGTAACAAAATTCTTTCTCCTCGAAAGTTACTGAAATAAACGAATAAAAATAAACGGAAAAAAGTCCACTGAATATAATTAGGAAATATTTTGAAAAATCCACCACTAAGTAGTCACATTTGCTATATTTTTAAACAAATGTATTCATAGAAAAATATTCTAATTTTAACAAAGAAATTAATATTTTTGCATTTTATTATCCTCATGAAATTTCATGAGATCAATTCAGTCTTGTTCCATGTTTGCTAACGTAAGTATGAAGTGATTTATGGATTGCTCTGTGTGTAGGTATGCATATGAGCAACGTCAACGCGTTCGAAATTACTTTTGCGTGCGTTCTGTTTAAAGCCGTAACACATAGCGTTACATTCAGGAAATTAATCAGATTCTTCGTTACACACTTTTAATAATTCATAAGAGAAATGTATTACATTTAGCAAAGTGTTGCAGCTATGAAGACTGCTATTATAACGAATGGTGGTGGCGAGTTTATTGGTTGTACACACTTACGCCTTAATCAAATCGCAAACACAATTGAATTCAAAGCAGCTGCGTATAATTATTACATTCAACTGAAGGATCTAAAACAAGTATTATAATACATATGAAACTCAGCAGCACTATATATATTAAAATCATTAATTTTTGGAAGAGTTCCCTGTTACTTTTAACTCTTTCACAATTACATCACATGTAAGGATATTCTTAGATATTCCCCGTGTTATAAATAAATTGCCAGTGTCATATTGAAATATAATTACATTGTGATAATAAAAATGTTAATAACAAGGGCCTGGAATCTTTTGATCCACTAATCACCATTACTAACAGTATTCACAAAGCAAATGCAATTTTATTAGATATAGAAATGGAAAAGGCAAATTTATTTATTTTGTACACAGAATCGATACAATATCTTTTAATAACAAATATTTTTGTTTGTTTTCTACCACCATTTTAGATTTTTCCTTGCCAATAAAATGCTTTATTTTTGGACAAGATACATTTTTTATCTCAACACTGATTATATTTAACTTCAGAGCTTTCAAAAGTTACCAATCTCTTAGTAACCACTTTATATCAAAGCATAAAAGTTCAACTTCTCATTTTCCCTTGGAAAAGTGGCATCGTTTAGATTTGATCGTGTTCTCAGATAAATCTTTTCAAACGAATGATTCATCGAATAATTCATTAGCAACACATTCTACCAACGATTAACACGTTAAATGCCTTGTCGGTCACCTATGATCGATGCTTCTGAATTGCTTGAAAAAATTACAATATGCAACCTAAATAAGTTAAGAATAGTGTAATGTAAAAATTCTGATGCTAAATAATTAATAATTAGTTCTATTTAGCTTTGCTACACAGAAACGAATCATGTATAAAACGTTCAAAATTCTCGTGACGCTTAACGTGTTAAAAATATAACCCGCAACACTACCATCATGAAAAACAAATTTAAAATATAAAAACAACACATTTCGACTTCATCGATCTCAAAAATTGCCAATCTCTTAGTAACCACTTTATACGGAGCATAAAAGTCCAACTTCTCATTTCCCCTCGAAAAAGCGGCGTCGCTCGCAAGATTTCATCCGTGTTCTCCAACAAAACGGTCCGAGAGGATGATTCATCGGGGAACTTTACGCGCGGATCTGTCTCGGCGCGTCTTGATTACGTCGCCTGGCGAGAATTGAGATGTAAAGCGCGAGCGGTATCCGGCCGTAACGAGGAACTCTCTCGTTAGCATCGGTAAACGGAGTATCGCTACTGTTATCCGCGCGGCTCGGCGCGGCGCGGCGGCTGCATTGACTCGGAAATGCGTATCTCTTACGCGAGGAGCCACGAGACAGCTAATCGAGCACGTTCACGAAATTAGACGTAGCTGACGGTGATCTTGTTCGGTGCAGCTCGAAGCTGGCAAGCCTGGTTGCACTCAATTTAACGAGGAAGATGGGATAAAGGATGAAAGGAACGCTCGGAAGCGAGAAAATGAGTGTCGGCTGGGGACAGGAAGGATCGACTGAGAGAAGGATCAATGAAGAAAAAGAAGAATATCCTAAAAAGTTAGGAACAGAGAGAAAGGGGGAGAACTATAAGAGACAAGGCAAAAGAACAGAGGACAGGAACAGAGACAGTATAACGGTGCAAGGCTAAAATCGACGGAAAGGGTTAAGGAACAAAAAACACTCGGAGCAAAAAGTGTAAAATAGAGACAGTTAAGTGCTGCAGGTGAGCAGATAACAAAGGATGACGTTTTTATGCAGAAATAGGCGAGGATGTACGGCCGGCAGGAGGCAGGGGCTGAGGAAGGGTCAAAGAACCAGGAAAGAAAAGGTACACACGGAAACTGAACCGGGAAAGGGAAAAAGTGGCTGTTAGAGAGAGAGAAAGGTATCGCGGCCGGGCGGAACGGTTATCGGACGGATAAAGAAAAGCTCGTTAAGCTGATAAGAGAAAAAAGGTGAAAAAGTCCATTTCCATTCACACGGAGATTCTTTCTGAACGAATTGCGCCGCTGGGAAAAAGTAGATTTCTTTAAACGGTGAATATCGTCGATCGAGCGCCACCCCCTTCGCTCCTGGCTGTACCGCCCGGCTGAACGAAACTTTGTTGGGCCGAGGGAGATAAGTGTTACGCGGTTCGGTGGGTACGGCTTGGTTCCTACCGATGTTATGAACCCCTCTTTCGCAGTTCTTTCGTTTCGTATCGCGAGCAACGTTTCGCCGATCAGCTTCGGCTAAGTTTTACTTGTCTTTGGTAGGTACGCGCGGCAGCTGGATATTGGACGGCTAGAAACTATGGGCCGCGTTACCGTAACTTCTCCCATAGGAAGAGCTACGCGATGAATTTTCCCCAAGATTCGCAATTTGTCGTTCGGTTAGGGAACTTTTTCGATATTCAACCCATTGTTGACTAAGTAATGCGTATCTTTATTGAAATATCTGGATTTTATTAATGTTTGAATTATTAGATAGCAAATGTTATTAATATGGAAATAATTGAAAGATGCAGTACTGAAGACAATGAAGATTAGATTTAGACGATTTTGTACTGTATTGACCTTTTTAATGCATAAGACATATGTTTATTAAAATATCTGGATTTTGTTAATATTTGAATTATTAGATAGCAATGGATATGTTATTAATGTGGAAATTATCTAAAGATGTCGTATGAATATGAAACTTACACGATCTTGTATTGTGATAATGTTTATAAACTATAGTAACTTCTTCCC